ACAAACATTAGTATTAAATCCTTAGCCTTTTTTTATTTATTCATTTGAATTAAATAATTTATAATTAATGCATTAATTTTCTATTAATTATTGACTAAATTTAGTTGTCTTGAATCAACACACTTCACCCAACATGAATCCAAATCAATTTGACCCAAGTCCGGACCAGTTCAATGCGGTCTGACCCGATCCAGGTCGACCTGAATCTGAAATAGACCTTGGACAAGATGGCTTGGTACTGCTTGCTTTGCCTGGTTTGGGTCGTCCGGTTCAACCATTATTCACACAGCCAGGGTCGACCCGACACAAGCTGATCTGGGTCAACCCGAATCCGAAATGGGTATGATCGGGCGGGGTCCAAACCCTAAACCATCATGCTTGCTTTGTCCGGTTTGGATCATCCAGTTTGGTTCATATCCGTTCAACCTTACCCGAATCCAGCCCGGTCCGATTTACTTATTTTGACCTGCTTCGGGCCAATCGGTTCGGCCCCAAACCCGTGCACAAACCTGATATGAGTCAACCTAAGTCAATCCACCATTGACTGAACCGGTCCAGTCTGGTCTGACTAGATTGAACCAGCCTGGTCGGGGTCTGGTCCGACTGGACTGAACCGGATCTAAACGGTTCAACCACTCTTGAACTTTATGTGATTACCTCGAAGACAATCCAATTAGATAGTTCAAGTTGGTCTGACTGGTTTGAACCTATGTGGTTCGTCAAATCAAATCCGAAACCCAAACATAGTTAAATGGCTTTGCTTCTTGTATAAAAATAACATGCATGTAATGTGATTTGAAACTTCACCACTTGTGTAAATAGCAACTACTATTACCACTAAGCTATGACTAACTTATTTGTTAAAGAAAGCTAGTTTTTTGTTTTAAGTACATAAATATAAGATTAATGGGTTTGGACGGATTGGATTGGGTTAAAGCAGGTTTGGGTTGAACCCAACCCATTTAATTTTATATAACTGAGTCATTAACGGGTTGGCGGGTTAAATGGGTTGGATTGAAACTCAACCCAAACCCAACCCAACCCGCCCAATTGCCACCACTATTCATGAACATGTGGGTGAATCATGGAGTGGTTGTTTGTGGATGCAGGCAGTGCACATTGGTCTAGGGCATTTGGTGCAATGCTATTAGGGATCTAGCAAATAGGTAACTGGCAGAGGTCTGGGTTGACTTAAAACATAGTAAAGAAATGAAATACTCACAAAATTTTGCTGAGAGCTGCATACTAGTAAGAAAAAGGATAAAAATTCAAAGCTGCTTCAGTGGAGAACAGATTTGGTCCTCACAGCCTTTTGCAGCCGGGCATTGGGAACATCTACGTCCTCCTATTTTTTTATGTCATGGGGAGATATTCCCAATACATGGCTACAAGGGGCTGTAAGGACTAAATCCGATTTTGCGTCAGTGGGCATGTCTTCTGTTAYGTCTGTAACATGCATTGCTTTGTAGCTAGCTGCTTGGTAATTCTTGTTCTTCAGAAACCGTCAATTTCCTTTTTGTTGTGTTTGTAACATTTTTGTAACCTTTGCATCTCTCAACAGGCACAAAAAGCAGAAAGGGATGCCACAGATCTGAAGGGCTCCATGAGAAAGAGAATGGAATTCCTTGATTTGGATTGATGACATGTCAGTCTTGTGCAATTTTCCTGTCATGTGTTAATGCCATGTTGTCCGCAAATATTAGCGCGGTTGGTTGGTACTCGAGAAACTACTATGGGGAAATAATGTTTTGCTCCCATTTTCCTGTAATCTTGTTATTCCCCGAAGACAGGTTTGGTAAGCTCTCCTGAGCGATCCTGGCTGGCTGATTAGTTTAATGCAGTTAGAGAATGATGTCTTTAGTTATTTTAAGAGTTCGAAACAAAAATAATGGTTCGCGTTCGTTTCTCATGTGGGAATTGGCATTTAAGGGCAACCTATTGGAAAGTAGGATGAACAAGCTACCCTGCAATACTGGTTGGCTCCAATTAGCTACTTAAGAAGTTAACATTCTTTTCTCTTCATCCTGAAAGGTGAAGCAAGTTCCCCTTAAAAGTACTTTTTCGTTTCTTTAGAGTGATGCTTGATTTAACTATTTAAGGGCGAGATGTAGAGTAGAGATATGTTGACAATGAATTTTCGTACTCCGATACTCTCAGATTCCACCGTGTTAGCACTCTGTTAGATAACTTAAGAAAAGGCTCCCATGCGACTGTTATGTGCGTTTTTAAACGTTTATAAAACTCTAAACTGCTTTTGTATTATTTTATGTGACCATTTTGTAGGAAATTGATAAACTACAAGTCTATAAATTGAGGAAATACAACAAAAATTTAGAAAATTGCAGACAAAAAAAGAAAAAAAGAAAGTAGAAAATGTAGAAAAAATGCAAAAGGATAGAGAACTTCAAATGGGCATTTTCATAATTATGTCTTTTATCATCACCCCATTAGCAAGTAGGGGACAAAGTATTGGACTATGATAGTTCAGGATGGTTTTTTGTTCCAAATAAAAGTTGGGGGGGGTAGTGTAACTATGCCCAAAGATGAAAGTACTAGTTCCAAGGTGGTTAAATGGTTATCCGTAGGGGTTAGCAAATTGAACCAACCTCAAATCGGCCTTGAACTGACCTTACCCAATCTGTTATAGGGTAGGGTCTGGTTTCAAATTTTTGGAATCAACCACCACTCAAGCAAGTTCCGGGGTCTAGGGTTTATCCTACCTGAACCGACCTTGGTTGGCCTTGGTGGAACCTGCCTTGGAACCGAATTTTCCTTGAAATAAACCCCAAAATATTTTTGGGGATGTGAATATTTGAGCCCAAACACGGATGGTTAGAAAGGCCATGGTCCCATATGACCATTGAATTACGTAAGTTATTTGATCATTTGTTTTCGTTTTAATATTTGAATGTGCACAATAAATAAAGTAAAAGATAATATTTACAAATTTTAAATTTAAATTGTAAGTTTTGAACCACATAATGATAATCTGCATACTAAGTTACTTAATTTGATCAATAATATAGTATAAGTTTTAAACTATATATTATATTTATTAACAATCAAATTTTTAAAGAACACACTTTTTTTAAGGGAGTGGGGAAGTAAGGAAAGAATAGGTTCCATGAGTAGACCTCGGAACCACCAAATCCAGAACCGACATTCACAATGTAGGTTCTGGTTCCAAAAACCTAAAACCGACCCCTATAGGGTAGGTTCCAGGTTCTGCCATGGAACCGAACCGAACCGAACAGACCCATGCTCACCCCTAGTTATTCTTATAGTTAGTCCCGATCGTGATACTCATATCCGGGATATGGTTGCATGTGTTTTTTGCAGAGAGTTTCTGAATTTTTTTTTCTTTTGGCAAATGAAAAATCAATATGCTATGTTGTCTGTTTTGAAGCCTCCAACACATGAAACATTTCCCCACTTTAGTTTTTTATGTGTTATAATATGGTGTTTGAAATATAGGCAAAGTTTGCATATCAAGAATATCAATAATGTGAACCTTGTTAGCATATTTTTTCCAAACAATGAAGCCTTTTTCCATATCAAATTGCCTATATAAAAATAATAAAACAAATTAAAATAACTTTTCATGAGATTTGAACCATGACAACCTATAAATCTATAATAGAATGATATATTATCAAACTAAAATCTTAATTTTTTTTCCGTAAAAAGGATCTATTAAAAACATCATGGAAACATTTGGGTCCCCTTACTACAAATTTCCCAAAAACTTTGAGCTAGGTTCCTAGGGATGTAGGTGCTATTCACAAAAGAGTTTTGGAGTCTACCTCGCTTTGCTAGATCATGCGTTGGCTTTACTGTCTCTCTGCTTACATACAGAATTTTAATATTATCAAAAAAATAAGAGTAGCTTAGATATATGTTCATATAGAGCCTGTAGATCCCACATGATATTTTTCCTAGTTCCTTTCAGATTCATAAGAACCACCTTGGCGTCCGATAGCAAAAAACCTGCTTTAGCACCCATACAAAAAAACTTGCGCAAGCCTCTAATTACTGCCCAGAGCTTAGCTGCTGCTGGTGATCTTGCCATGCATGGTTGTCCTTCTGCAATGAGAAGAGGAGACCTGTGAGAGAACATAAACATTCCAGTGGATGCAGTTTGCATGGTGGTGCTCCATGAAYCATCCACTAAGATGATTGGGAGGTTTGTGAGAAGAGCCTGATGCAAGTTCCAAACTGGTTGCAGTTGTAATGAGTTCAAAAATTTGAGCTCAGTTTCTTTAAAAGTGCAGTAATGTTCAGCCTTTTGTAGATTTTGAAGAAGGTCTGGTTTCACTTTATTAAAATTTTGATCATTTCTTACATCCCATAAACTTCTGAAGATAGCACAGATCTTTGCAATATAGTTGTGCTTTAAAACTTTGTTCTGCAAGTGAGTATTATGTTGCCACCACCATTGGATTAGATCCTCTTGTCCAGAGCTTAGAAAAGCCTCTAGCACAAGTCCAGCTTGGGCCTGCATCCAAACAACCCTTGAGAGAGGGCATTCCAAGAAGATGTGCTCTTGGGTTTCTGGAGATTCCTTATAGAAAGTACACAAAGTGTCCTCTCTTCCTCTACAGATCCATATTTTTGTTTTTGTGCGAACAACTTTATGGAGGAACTTCCACATGAAGATCTGACATCTATGGGAGCATGAACTCTTCCAGATTATGGACCAACTCACTATAYTTGATCGAGTTTGTAACGGGGTTTCTAGAAGTGAGTGATAGGCTAGATTCATAGTGAATTCCCCATTCTTCATATCTTTCCAAAGGAGCCTATCAGGTTGCTGTAAAGTCCTTAAAGGAATGCTTAGAATTGCTTCGACACTTCTATCTTCAAAATAGTTGTTGAGGAGATCAACATTCCAGGTCTAATTGTCTGTGATTAATTCACACACTTTTAAGTGTGGAGGTTTTGGACTCAGTTCTTTTGACCGGGACATTGCTCTCTAGTTGGGGCACCCATGGGTCTAAGAATGCTGAGATAGTTCTGCCATCTCCAAGCTTCCAGAAAAAATGAGCTTTTAGTTAATTTTTTAATTTGATGATACATTTCCACCAAATCGAGTCTGTGGCTTTTGCTTTCAAGTCAAAGAAGCATTTTCCTTTGATGTATTTTGCCTCTAGTTGCTGGGCCCGAAGGCTGTCCCTGAGGTTTAAGAGTCTCCAGATTGATTACAACATTAGTGCTTTATTCATCAAAGAGAATCTCCTTATTCCCAGTCCTCCTAGGATTTTGGGAGAGCAGATTATAGACCATTCCATGTTACAATTTGTAGTTGTGTTAGATCTCCCTACCCACTAGAAACTTTTTTGCAGTCTATCTAGTTTTCTACAAATAACTATGGGGAGGAGGCTTGTTTGCATAGTGTACACAAGGATGATTTGGGTTGGGAGGAGGCTTGTTTGCATACTGCTCTGATGAGAGTAGTACGGCCTGCTTGGGAGAGTATTTTTGTTTGCTAGTGTTCTATCTTCTGAGAGATGCAACCAGCTAGATGTTTTGTTGGTGTAACTGGACCCTTTTTCTCTTTCTACTAACCAAGTTCCAAGGTATTTGGAGCTATAGTTTATTATTTTCATTTTAATTATTCTGCTCAGCAGCTTTTGGTGGGTTCTATGCATATTTCTACTGAACATGACTCCAGATTTTGCAAAATTTATGTGCTGCCCCGAGATTTGCTCAAATAGCTTGAGAGTGGTTTTGATCTGGTGGAAGGACTCAAGGTCAGCCTTGCAGAACAAAAAACAATCATCTGCAAACAAGAGGTGGGTTATGGGCTTTGAGTTTTTTGCAAGTTTTATCCCCTGGAATTTTGAGAGACTCTCTTCTCTATGTAGGAGGGCTGAGAGGGTCTACATTTCAATGATGAAGAGGTATGGAGAGAGGGGGTCTCCTTGCCTTAAGCCTCTTTTGGTGGTGAACAAGTCAAAAGATGATCCATTTAACTTGATTGAGAAGGATGGAGTGGAAATACATTGCCAAATTAACTCACACCAAGCTCCTGGAAAACCATTTTTTTCATAGATTCTATAAGAAATCTCCAACCCATTCGATCAAAGGCTTTAGCCATATCAATTTTCAAAGCTGCCCACTTCCCTTTCCCTTTCTGTGTTTTGAGTTGGTGGATGATCTCTTTTGCTAAGATTATATTATCTGTGATGCTCCTTCCTTTGATAACGACTGCCTGATTTTGTAGAACTAGGTCTGAGAGTAAAGGCTTTATTCTATTGGTCAGGATCTTTGTCAGGATTTTGTAAAGCACATTACTTATGCTAATTGGCCTAAAGTGTTCTGCTTTCTCTGCACCCCTCTTCTTTGGTATGAAAACAAGACTGGTATGGTCCAGCTGTTGTAGCAGTTTTTTGGAGTGAAAAAAATCTTTGGATCATACTTGTGATTTCATCACCAACTAAATTCCAATAGTGTTGGAAGAAAAATGTTGTATATCCATTTGGGCTTGGAGCTTTGTGGGGGTTCATTTGGAACAAAGCTAACTTGACTTCTTCTTTCTGAGGGGGTAACAGGAGTTTTTGACTCTCTTCAGCTGGGATTTCCTTGAATTGGAGTGCTTCTAAGAGAGTGGGGTCAAAATTCTCTTCTTGCCCTGAGTTGCTTAAGAAATGGTTTTTGAGGAGATTTGATATGACATTTGAACCAATGACCCATCTGTCTTGGCTTTCTTTCAGACTTTCTATAGCTCTCCATCTCCTTCTAAATTTTGTGTTTTGGTGGAAAAAATTTATATTTCTGTCCCCTTCTGAGAGCCATAGTTCTTGAGATTTCAGTTTCCAAAATTGCTTCTCAGCAAGGAGCCATTTATTATATTGAACTTCCAAATCAACTAGCCTACTAATTTCTTCTTGGTTGGACTAGGCTAGTATAATTTCTTGCTTCAGTTGTGATAGTTTCTTGTGAATATCCCCATAGGTGTTTTATTCCAAAATTTGAGATGGTTTTTCATAATTTTGAGTCTAGTTGCTATTGAGTGGGCTTTGGAGCCCACAATTGTTTGGTTCCAAATTTCCGCAACAATGCTGTCACAATCTTCCAAATTTCTTCAACAATGTTGTCACAATCTTTGTGATTTACCCACATTGGTAATAAATTTGGAACAAAAAACAGTTCCATTTCTAAAATCTTAATTGGATTGGAAGGAAATGAAATGGATCCAAATTCAATTTTGATATCAATGGATATGGTTTTTTAGATCATCATCATCTAAGCCTTGTCTTAGCTATATGAGGCTGGTTACATGAATCCTATTTTTATCATTCCTTTCTCTTTAGTGTAGAGAAAAAAAGACACTTCATGATGAATTTGGCAAAATCTATGAACCTATTTTTCTATATTCAAATCCAATTTAATCAAATTAAACACTTATAGTTGGATTCAGACAATCTGGCACCATTAGCATTACATGATACAATACCAATCCCAGTTTTGAGCTGAAGTCTAACCCATTATAGTCCTTTATAGTATGCCTGCCATCATGATGCATTAGTTGCGGGTCAAACTCCTTACCCATTGAGGGTCCATCTGGTTCATGGGAATGGTCCATTCTGATTCTAGATGGACATAGCTCACCTTGCCTTAGGCCCGAGACTACAAAATTCTCCCTCACTCTCAATCCAACCCCATAAAAGCCAGGAAAAAACAAATCTAAAACTAAAACAATAATCTAATTATTGCATTTGACAAATCAATTAGATCCTAAATGACCAAATTTTTAATCCTCTTCAAGAGATCATTAATATGAAAATGGGTACTTAAGGCTCCATTTTCAATACCTAAATCAATGCCTCCAATAGTTACCTTGATTTTGGTGTAGTTCATAAAAATTAAATTTGATTGTATAATATTAACCCATATCTTCACCCATTACTTAAATATGTACACAACAAGTGCCCTTACACCAAGTAGACGTTAACGCTGTTGTGCTTGGACATTTTTGTCTTATTGTTCATTAATATTTTACCCCAAAATCCATGATGTTGGACTCAAATTACCCCTTACTTTTTGTGATACTCGTTGATTGGTTATAAGATTTTTTGGTACCATATCCTTCCAGCATCATAGTCGAACCCATATATATGATTTGTGAAATCACATCTCTAGACTCTAGGTACCATCTGTATTTAAGGAGTTCAATTGATATACTCTTGTATGCAATCCCTAGATAGGTTTGCAGATTTCATTAAAAAAGTGCTCAGAATACAAGATATTACCATCAGTATCAGCTAGAGGCCCAGAATAGTTTAAGGAATTGACACAAAAAAAGAAGAAAGTTCCAGATTATCAACCAATCTGCTAAAGGAAAGATACCAATCCTCATAAAAGTCTTGACTTGACTGTGGAAAAACAGCTTTGCTCAATTTCTGTGGCCATACTTGAAAAACTTTAACCAATCAAAAACACCACGATGGATTTGAATCAATATCGGTTGATTGGTTATYAGTTTTTTATTTTTTTCATACTCGGACTTACAAACAAAATTTGTATTCTAGTTCATTTTGTTAATAAAGTAATAATATTTTAGTTTTTAGTTTAATTTATTAACAAAAAAATAATATCCAAGTTCAATCTAAATTTGGTCGATTTTTTGGTGTTTTTTCTACAAATTTTATTTTTCAATTTCTATAGTTTCTATAATTTGAAAATATTTTTTTTATTTTGTATGCACTTTCTACAATTTTTTATATTTTTTGTAATTTCTGTGTTTTTATGTATTTTACATTTAAAAATATTTTTTGAACTTTTTCCTTTTTTTTCATATCTAAATATTAAAATATTTTATATTTTTCTATGAAGATTAAAATGATAATATATTAACAGCCCTTAGTCTCTTTAACGCCAAGTTAATGACATGRTGAGTTTTAGACATTTTGAAAAATTGTGGTGAGTGAGAAATGCTAAAAACTCATGTTGAGTTTTTGACAAATTTCCTATAAAAATTAATAGAAACGAATTCCAATATTAATTACATTCGATCCAATGGTCCATTTAAAGCCTTACATGGAAGGTTTAAGTACAACCTGGGCTGAACCCAGTCCTGGCCCAAGCCCAAAAAGTTTTGTAATCTGCTCTATCCGTCAAATGGAGTTATGGAGGGTTCCAAATTCACAATTGTTGTTGGGAGGACATGATCATGTTGGAACCTTGTTGGGAGGACTGGAGGAGATCACATCATCACAAATTCGAATGCGGATCTCCTGTCCACGTTCAAATCACGGGGGTAGTGTGATGTGAGTAGACTTGGGCTCTAGTGGGCAGGATATCCAGTGTCTACAAATTCACAATTCTGTGAGGGGGGGCCGTCTTTTTCAGCTGGAATTGCAGAGAATCCTTGACTAGATCTAATAAATAATAACGTCTTTTGAGCTACAAGATTGTCCCCCATAACTTCTCATAACACATTCCCACCGTGTATTAAGAATGTCTTGCGATGATGACATCGTCATTTTTGATATTATCATCGAGATGTTCCCAATACACGGAACGAACGACAAGGGGCAATCTTGTGGGGCTGATTTTATCTCTAGAGATTTACTTGGATGCAAAGTTTGCGTGTGGGGTACGTTAGCCAAACTATACACTGACTGATAAATAACACATGTATGTAAACTCAGTTGGGTTAATTTGACCACACTGGATAAACTCCTTGGTTAGATGACTTAGATCGGCTTTCAGGGCACAGTCCGAGCACAGATCCACTATTCTCTCTCTCTCTGCAAGCAATGGTGGCGCAGAGGGGGCTCATCATATCTCTCTTAGTAATGCTTCTTTGGGTTCTGAGCGTCAACGCTTCTGTGCACGATTACGCTGGAGAGAGATTCATCAGCAAGGGAAATGCTTTTGTCGTCCATGGAGGCAGCGAGGGTCTGTATTCTTCGGTACCAAACAAAAACGAGAGCTCAAACTACGGAAATGGAGATTCTTATATACGGTATTATATGATCATATCTTGTCTTCCACTAGTCTGATTTAGGTTCTTGTTAATTCGGTGCTTTGGATGTAATCGGTAAGCGATTCGATCTCTGTTTTGGCTAATGGAGAGCTATGCTTTTGAATGTTGGGTTTCTTATTGCAATGTAGGGTTTTAGTGGTTGTTCGGTTGTGATTTGTGGGAATCTAGTGCAATGCAGGGTCTGTGATGGTGGATCTGGATTTGTGTAGTTGTTCTGGGGAATTGCTTTGTTTAGTTGGTTATTGTGTTAAGTTGCGTAATATAGATTTGTAGGGCCTCAGATGGTTGAAAGAATGTGGGGGAAGTCTTCTGAGATCATGTTTTGATTCAAGCCATAGCTGCCAGCCTGGCTTAGTGACGGCACAGAATGTGGGGGAATGCGTTGGTTTATTGCTTTCTGGTTACATTTCTCAATGGTGAAACTAAAGTGAAAGTAGAAACATCTTGTTATGATTTTCGTTCATAGCAGGATAGCTTAGTCACGGCACAGAATTGCTCTCCCCATTTCTCTCAAATGAAAAAAACGTTACCAAAGAAATAGAAGAAACGGTAGTTGTGTTGATTGAATTCTGTTGATGTACAGATTTCAAGGTTGAAGCACAGTTGCTCTAAAACTAATGGGTGATGGACATGTCATGAACCCACTTATCTTGCCACATAATTGTTCAACTATGCGGCCTGGAACCATCTCATAATGTGGAGTTTTGATCGATCATGCATAGTTAATGAAATTTCAGATTTCTTATGCTTTTTTTTTTATTTGTTGCCATTACTTTTCCTATATGCCTCCTCAAATGAAAGCAGGATTCCAAAACCAAATGAAAGCCTTTACCTTTATATTTGGCAAATAAAAAGTAATCTATGGAGTCCAAGTTCTAGTCAATAGAAAAAGGAAGGTACCACAAATTATTGTTGTGACGTTGTTGCATGATTCATTATTTGACTTGTATTGATTTGATTGAAACCAGTTTTGAAAAGATTACTTTCCGGAGGCCAAAGGAAGCTGCTCAGTCCCAAACTGGCTTGGTCCATGCCATTGTTTTTGAGGTAGAAGATCGAGATACAATTGGTGGTTCAGCCTATGGTGGTCAACGAGCTATTTGTTGCACTTCAGATCTTGCTAAGCTTGGTGCATGCACAGAAGGGGATGTCATACACCGCCCATCAACCCGACATGCCAACTGGCCTCAAGTGTTTCATGTCCCTTTAAATGGAGATGTTGCAACGCTCCAACTAAAGTCCATACAGATCACAGAAACCGGGATGTATAACCTGTATTTCATTCATTGTGACCCAAACCTTAAAGGGTTGGTTATAGAGGGGAAAACCATATGGAAAAACCCTACTGGATATCTACCTGGGAGGATGGCACCACTGATGAAGTTCTATGGGTTCATGTCACTTGCTTTTGTAGTACTTGGCATCTTCTGGTTCTCTCAATATGCAAGATTTTGGAGAGAAATTCTTCAACTTCAGAACTGCATAACCTTAGTGATTGCATTGGGTATGTTTGAGATGACATTATGGTACTTTGAGTATGCTGAATTCAACAAGACAGGAATCAGACCAACTGGGATAACCATATGGGCTGTCACATTTGGGACTGTTAAACGCACAGTTGCACGTCTTATCATCCTGATGGTTTCCATGGGCTATGGAGTTGTGAGACCTACACTAGGAGGTCTGACATCAAAGGTGATTATGCTTGGGGGGACATTTTTTATAGCATCTGAAGTGCTCGAACTGGTAGAGAATGTTGGCGTCATAAATGATCTTTCTGGGAAGGCAAAGCTTTTTCTGGTTCTTCCTGTAGCCATCTTGGATGCTTTCTTCATTCTTTGGATATTTACTTCTCTCTCCATGACTCTGAATAAGCTTCAGGTAAATACACTTCTATTGTGATTTATCTTTTGTGCATTCTCCTCTCAAACTCATCTTCATAATATATTAACAAGCTTAGTATTTTTTTCTAATGGTTGTAAAGATCAAGATGCTTGTATGTTTTAAATGGAAACGTATTTCTTGATATGATATGATAGAGCATTTATCAAAAAAATATAATATAGTAGAGCATAAGACTTCATGTTTCCTTATTCAAAAATGAAAAAAAAAATCAATGTTGCCAATATCTGGTAAATGGACTTATTCCATGCCAAACCAAGTACTCAATATTTTGTAAAGTACATTTATTAGTGGTTTGGATTGTTGTTGCATACTTGCACTAATTCCAGTTGTTCTGATCTCCTTGGTTGGGCTTTTGGTTGAATAGCTTGAACATGTTCTTATTTGCTTTTTAGACTGAAGGTGTTTGCAAAAATATTTCATGGTATGTTTGCATTAAAGAAGAGTAACTCTTTAATCAATATGATTTGCTTTCAACAAATGCAGAGAGCTTATTTCTAAAGCTTTTGAGGAGAGGAATAGCTGATATGCGGTAGTTTTCTGCTTGTGGTTGGTAACAGGCAAGACGAATGATGGCCAAATTAGAAATTTACAGGAAATTCACCAATGCGCTGGCAGTAGCTGTTATTGTGTCTGTTGGTTGGATCTGCTATGAGGTAATATTCCTTTGGTGCATCTTATTACATATTGTTTCTATATGGAAAAATTAGCTTGTGATCTGCTGAATTCTACTTCAGGTGTTTTGTGACAATTTAATGTTGCATTTCCTCTGTTCTTTCTTTAAGACAGTTACAAGACTAGCATTGCTATTTGGGACAGAGTGCTGGGAAATCAAGAAACAATTTCGAAGAGTGTAGCTCATATGGGGATGTTGAGATGGATGAGTCGCATGATAGCATAAAAAATGAGTGCATTAGAGAGGCTTAGGAGCATCTTGAATTAGTGATAAGATGGTAGAAATTTGACTGAGATGGCTTAGTCACATGCATAGACAACCAGTGACTATACTGGTGAGAACTGACTCAGTGCAAGTAGAAGGCTCCAAAAGAGCAAGAGGAAGGCTAAAGAAAATGTGGTCTAAAGTGGTAAAAAATGATATTAAAACTTTTACTTTGACATAAAACATAACTTTTGATAGAGAAAAATGGTGGAATAAAATTTGTATAGCCTTCTCCAAATGGTTGGAATTAAGGTTGAGACAAGAGTTTAAAAGTGGTGACACCTCTTGTGGGTTGTGGGCCTCTTTTTCTCTGTCTGAGTGAAGGCCTATTGTGTCCAACATCATGTCTTCAGTTAAGATCATTGAGTATTGACAAAAGAACCGGTGCATATCTGCAGATAATTTGGTAAATAAAGATGGCATGTTTCTGTCTTTTCTTCTAATACATTTCTTTCCATTTTATCCTGATGACTAAAGAGAAGAATATGAAGAACAAGCTGAGTACGCAAAAATGTTTTGTGTGAAACATTTTTCTGTACAAAATCTTTCTATGTAGACCACCTTTTGCTAAGCTATGGAGTGAGCTACAGCTGGGTAGCTGACCATTAATGGCCTAGTTCAATTATTTGATCAGTTTTTGATGTTCCACATGAAGTGTCTTAAGGAGGTGCACTTGGTATCTGATAAAAAGTAAGATTCTCATCACAAAACTGAGATTTAAAACATTGATGTTACTACTTGAACCTTATTATGAATTTATTTAAGCTTTCTAGGCTTGTTTAAAACTTTTTGGTTTTGTTTCACATTATAAATGTCTTTGTAGACATTAAAGGTTTTGTAGTCTTGGAAAAAAATGCAGATCTTTTTTCCTTAACTTGGTTTCAATTACAAATGCTTGTTGGAATAAAAAACCATGATATTGATTAATTTTATTTGAGGCTGTTTTTGCCTTTAAGTTTATTTTTTTATGTAATGACAATTATTTATGTAGCTTTAGACTTATCAAAACAAAAATGTAGTTTTCTTATTGGTAAGTGTAGTTATTTGTTACTTTTCTGATTTCCTTTTCCCCTTTTCATTTTAGTATTTTTTTCCTTTAGCTCTTTTTTTTTTTTTGAAATGTGGGAGGAGCCGAGTCTGAAATCTTTCAGCTAATACTTGTTGCCTTTCCTGCACCGAAAAAGATACAACTTTAAGAAAAATAAGCAATTTATGGAGGTTCTGTCACTTGCCTTTCTTCTTTTTGGAGCACTGTTAGACATGATGGAATGTGCTTATTGTTAAGGAAATCCATGGAAATTTTCAGAAAGGTTATGATTGATGCTCTAAAGCATTGCTAGATTTTTATCTTTTACTCTGTGTATGTTGTGTCTGTGCACGTGTACTCAATAAGCTCGGTATTTTGGTTTTTGCTTGTGTTGGAAAAGTGGGTATTGGACCTGCAACATTCTTGTACTAGAGTCCCTTTGTTAATCCCCTGYATCATTCTTTTCTTATGGAGTCCCTTTTTAATAATACTCTTTTTTTTATCAGTCTTTTTAATAATACTCTTCTTCCCTACCATTTTTTAAATCCAAATAGGAACTAATACGAGAAATTGTTTTCCCTTCTGCAGCTTTACTTTAAATCAAGTGATGTATACAATGAGCGGTGGCAGAGTGCATGGATCATTCCTGCCTTCTGGCAGATTCTATCTTTCTCTCTTCTCTGTGTCATTTGTGTGCTTTGGGCTCCATCTCAGAACTCTACACGGTAAAAAATCCTAATCCATCATCCACTCTTTTTTTTTGATAAATATCCATCCTCCAATCATTTTTTTTGATAAATATCCATCCTCCAATCATTTCTTTTCTTAATCTTCTGCATTTATTAACTTGATTAGAGAAAGCTGGAGTTACAAGGTGAGGAGAATAACATTTGGGAAGAATTCCATCCTACTGTGACTTCACTTGAAGAAATCTGGCTTAAAAGCCAAACTTATATTTGAGAACTGGGTCCACTGAGTCTAGATATTCTTTTGATTGTAATAGATGAATGATAAATTTATAGGAGGGCTACCTGGAGCAAAGTGAGCTTTCGTGGAGAGGGCTACCTGGAGTAGAGTGAAGACTGTCATATGGGGCTGTCAATGGATTGGATCTGGTTCGTGACAGGGTGTAGGGGTCCTATTCTGATTATTAATCAGGACAATATGAGGGACCTAGAACCAAACCAATTATCCGTGTTAAAATAGTTTATTTTATGTTTCATTTATTATTTTCTGTCTTGTTAGGGTCTGTTTAGTTGGTTTAAATTCTTTTTATTTTCTGTTATTGTACTTCACTTATATCAAGGGCATAAGGGTCTTTCTCCCCTTTTAATTTAGACGCCCTATAAATATCAATAGATGCTGGCGCCGCCAGCATTGTTCCATTGTCGCCAATCTCACCTCTTCTCTTCTTTCTTCTTCTCTTCTCTCTTATTTTCAATCGGCTTTATTGTCAAGATGGTATCAGAGCGGGATTATTGACTGTGAGAGCAGATCGATCAAGTTTCTCTCTTCCTCAACTTGCTGAATTTGGGTGGAACAGAGAACTGAATCTGGGTTGATCGAAACTGATCTGCGACTGGTACAGCTCTTTTTTTTTTTTTTTTCTTTCTTTTCCTTGGTCGTGTACCAAGAGAAAAAAAAAAAACGAATGAATCTGAACTACTGAATGTCGTCAGACCCTTGTGAGGTTTATACCTCTTCTGTTTTGGATCCGGATCGTGTGATCCTGTACCTGTGAAAAGGTGACTATAGGTCACGGATGACCTGTTTTCTCTGGTTTTTGGCTTGATTTCATGTGTGTAAGGATCTCTCTTAATGATAAATGCTCGTAGACCTTCTGGAAAGTTAGTAGGTTGGGACTGTTAACCCGTACAGGTCTGAAAATCAGTTTGATCATACATTTTTTTCTCAGATTAAGTCCAAAACCGAAGTGTGTGTGGACTGGTCACTTGTGTGTGGAGCAATTTTTTTTCCTGATATAAGGAGGGATCCTAAGTTGAGTGTTGAGATTGAAATTCTGTTTTGATCATGTCTGTTAGAGTGCTCAAGTCAGGGGTATTTTGGTCATTCTGGTTTATCTTCTTGAAAGTGAAAGGTCTATTGTATCTGAGTTTAAGTTATGTGTCCCATCTTATATGAGGGACAAAACTGTCTTTCTTGTAACTCCAAGTTTTATGAATAAAATCCAAGTGGGTCGGCTAGGAGAGTGATTTTTTCACATTCTCTCTTCTAGTCTGGCCGAACATTCTTCTCCTTCTTTCTCTTTTCTTTCTTCTTTCTTCTTCTCTACTTTGACCTAGAATCAACTAGGGTTTATTCACATGGTATCAGAGCCAGGTTCCGATCCTGGGACCTGTGGGTTATGGGCCCACAGGTCCACACACACAACCACAAACTCTTTCACACGGCTTATCTCACTTATAGCACCACCAACCCCAGCTTTAAATACACATTACACACCACACACTAAGGCTGAAATCACTCAGTCTTCACATCAAACACCTGGGCTGCACACTGCAAAACCATTCACCACCACACACTAAGACTGAAATCACTCGGTCTTCACATCAAACACCTGGGCTGCACACTGCAAAACCATTCACCACCACACACTAAGACTGAAATCACTTAGTCTTCACATCAAACACTTGGTCTGCACACTGCAGAACTGATTAAACACAAGGTCTAGGACACAACCACCACCACCACCAATCACCACGACACAACCACCACCAATCTACTGCTGTTGTGAACTTCAGCAGTCGACAACTCTTCTTTCAGCATACATATGAAGAGAAATGCAGAGGAATACGACTGAAATGCATATCAGTCACACCGAGCATCACCACAACCAACTTTTGAAGCAACAAGAAAACATTCACAGTCCCTTACTTGGACAAACAACAGTAGTGTTCATACTGAATAGAGGGTTTAGTATACCACTTCAACGACTGGAGGCATTCTCACCTCTAGACCCACAAAACGACAACTCCTTTTCAGCCCCTTATCAAACCTCCACTCAGGTCAATCGAAAAAGAAGAAGACGATTGTGAAAGCTGGCGGCGAACCCAGAAAGAGAACAACAACAAGAAAGAAATAAGGATACGACCTTATAGCTCTGATACCATGGGCAAAATCTGTGGAGGTGTTCTTGAAGGCCAAGAGGAAAGTAAAACATGTGAGGGAGGAGAAACCTTCCTCT